AAAGCAATGCATGCATGTCGTGTAAAAAACTAAGAGCCTATAAAGTCTGGCCCCTACCACTGCTAGGAGACTGGAGTGACTTCCTTCTTTCCTATGGATTGCAGTTGGTGTAGTCTTCATAATCATTTTTATTTTTAATGACAAATGTCGTAACTTTTACTGAACTTATTACAGATACATGCACATCTTGAGATAAATTTGGAACCTTACAAATTACAATTTTAATTTTAATTTCTACACAACATAATATTCTGTACACTCTTATAATGTGGTCTGTGTTGGTGGCTCATTTAGCATTACTGCACAGCATTAACTGTAGAACAGGCAATGACAGTTCAAATCGCCATATAAATACATGCAATTAAAATTTAAAAGAATTATTTTTTTAAAAAAAGATTAAAAACTAGTATATAAATCTCTAGCTTCAGTCTTGAGTAGCATTCCACTTGATATTTCATCTTTACTTCAGCTTGATCCTATCAATGATAATATTAAAATCCTGATGCATACTTACCTTTAGTATTGTTATTTCTCTTCTTGTTGTAGTGCTCTTAGCATCACTAGCAGTAGTAGCCACTAGTGATCCCAGGCAGCGCCACGTGGAGGCGGCACTACATTGCTGCCCAAAAATTATAAAAACCTGGGGCCCCAGGTAAAAAAAATACTAATAATAAATGTTAATAAATAATTATAAATAATATTATTAAATCATAAAAAAATAATAATAAAATAACAAATAAATAAAAATAATAAATTTAATTATAAAAAATAATAATAAATAATAAAACCTAGATCTATAACTTATACCTACACTATATAACCTGTATCCTACAACTACCTGTTTCTTAATTTCTATACTATAGCTACCTTCTAATTTCTACTAGCTATACAATACCATACAACTATACCTGCTTCCTAATTTCTACTACTGTACCTACACTATACCTGTAACTACCTTCTAATTTCTACACTATAACCTATATCCTAGGTATAACTACCTGTTATCTATAATTTCTACTACTATACCTACACTATATAACCTGTATACCTAACACTACATGTTTTTTTCCTATAATTTCACTACTACCCTTCTAATTTCTACTACTATACCTATGACCTTTAAATCACACAATGATACCTATACCATATTAACCTTGCTATAAAAGTACATTCTCATCTTATGATACCATACCATTCATACCTACATTAACCTATGAACCTTAACATGACACAATGATACCTATACCATATTAACCTTGCTACATACAAATACATTCCTATCTTAATACCATACCATATTACCTATACCTACAACTTATATTGTATACACAATGTAAGACAAGTTATCTTAA